CCCCCCCTTCCTGCCTCCTCCACTTGAGCCTGGGCTCCAGCACCTTCTGCCTCGCCCCATTTGGAGCCGGCTCAGGGTCCTCTCTACACCCACAGGCCTGTGTCTGTTGTCCCTTTGGAGGCAAGGTCATCACACCAGGAGGCAGGCGTGCACTTGGCTCCATAAGGAGCTCCCTGTGTTGGGGAGAATTGGGAGAACGGCCTCCATTCTCCGAAATCCAGGGCCAGGCAAGCTTGCAAGGGCCTGAGGGCTGACCTTGAGCAGGGGACTTCAAAGGGTTTCCACACTGAGTGCTTTCCGCAGACAAGGCCTTACCTGATGGCCGTGACATAAAACAGATGGAAGCTAAGCTGCTTGGGCGAAGTGGTGCATGTTGAGGGCGCCTGGGAGAGGGGACAAAGATAGTTCACAGGGTTAAGGCTGTGACTTTTTGAGCGGAAGAAAGGGGTGCGTGGGAAGCTTTAGGGGAGCGCCTTTTCCATCAAGCTTTTAATTTTGCCGGAAGCAGAATTATCCCGAGAGAAGAGACCAACGCTGCAAGAGCAGAAAGACGTAGGGTGAACCCCGACAGTCCCCACCTGAGCAGCAAAGACCACCGCACCAAGAACGCGCCAGCAAGGGGCGGAGGCTCGAGCACTACAACTTCCGGCGTGGGCCCCACCCCTTGGCAACCACGAGCAAGTAGGACTAGTCCACGACAGGAAGAGGCGGGAATGATGAGCGGTGTCTCTAAAGCCCAATGAATCGTTCATCCTCTGGGAAAAGACGTATTTGTGGACCAATAGGACTCAGAGGATGAGGCCCCGCCTACAAGCCTGCCGAGCCAATCGGCTGAGAGCGGCGAGTGGGCAAGCGCTGGCTTTGCGACTTCGTGGAGTCGCGCGGCATGGCGGGCGGCGCCCGGGAGGTGCTCACGCTGCAGTTGGGACATTTTGCGGGTTTCGTGGGAGCGCATTGGTGGAACCAGCAGGTGAGGTCTCTTGGCAGTTGCCCCAGCGGAGCCTTTCGAGACCTCCAGCCCTCGCCTCCGGCTGGCCCATCTTGCCACCCCTGAGTCCGGTCCCTTTTCTGCCTCCCCAGGATGCTGCGCTTCGTGAACCGACTGACACCCAGGAGCCGCCGGGGGAGCTGTGCCCCGACGTCCTGTTCCGGGCCGGCCGAACGCTGCACGGCCAGGAAACGTACACGCCAAGGCTCATCCTCATGGATCTAAAGGGTGAGCGGTGGCCGGGGCCTGCCAGTGCCCATGTTCTCCTTCGCATCGGAGTCTCGAGCATCCGTTCGTCTCAGGACCCTCTGACCATACTAAGCTGAAGGGCACAGATGAGTTGCCTAGGGAGAGCTAAGCACAATATACAAGTGCCCAGGGACGCAAGAAGGCACAGCTTTATTCCGTTCACGGGCCATCTCTGGAATGGGCTGCTGGTCCCTGGAGACAGTGACACCGCCCGCCTCTAAGACCGCCGAGTATGGTCTTTGCCGCATACCCACGGCCACAGCTAAGGACAGGATGAAATCTAGATTCTCCTAGGCAATGTTTGTTTGTTTTTCCAACTTATGGATATTCAGGAAAGCTTGGAAGTGCCAAGTGCTGGAGGGATGGTGACAGCAGGTTTTCGGGTGATCAGAGAAAGATTATCTGAAGCCTGGGAGGGACTAGGCTTTGATTTCACACTTCCTGTTATTTCTGTGCAGGTAGTCTGAGCTCCCTAAAACAAGAAAGTGGACTCTACAGGGACAGACAGCTGGACGCTGCAATAGCATGGTATTTGTCATCTGGAGAAGAGTGGGAGATGTGCACAAAATGCTGGAAAACAAAGGCAAACTGGCTATGATCCGTCTCCACTTTCTTTAAGGCAGGGGAAGCTCACCACACACAAAGAGGAACTCCATCCCAAGAATCCTTATCTCCAGGATCTTCTGAGTGTGGAGGTGAGGGTCTCAGCCCTGAACTTCTTTTTCAAATTATGAGAGAAAGTTTATTTAGAAAATTACAGAGGTAGTAAAAGTGAGCCATAGAAGAAACAAATGGCTAAGGAAACAAGTTACAGAGGCAAAAGAAGGGTTTAGGAAAGGACAGTGGGAAAAAAGAAAAAAAAAAAATGTGGGGTGGTGTGGGGGGGGGGGGGGGACAGAGAGACTGCTCTGAACTTGCACACCGAGTGCTACAACCACAGTGCCGCCACTGGGTCAGAGAAATGGAGGATTTCAATCATCTTAAATGCCTTAAATAGTAATTTTGGAAGAAGCACATTTCTTCCTAAAAGACTGTGACTACAACCTGGACAGTGTGGCTCAATGGTTGAGCATCAACCTATGAAACAGAAGGTCACAGTTCGATTCCTGGTCAGGGCACGTGCCTGGGTTACAGGCATGATCCCCAGTGTGGTGCATGGGGGGAGGGGGGGGCGGCATGCAGGCGGCAACTTATGGATGATTCTCTCTCATCACTGATGTTCCTCTCTCTTCCTCTCTGAAATCAATAAAAACATATTTTAAAAATTAATAAATAGCCCTAACTGGTTTGGCTCAGTGGATAGAGCATCGGCCTGCGGACTGAAGGGTCCCAGGTTCCATTCCGGTCAAGAGCATGTACCTGGGTGGCTGGCACATTCCCAGTAGGGGGCGTGCTAGAGGCAGGTGAATCGATTGTTCTCTTTCATCGATGTTTCTCTGTATCCCTCTCCCTTTCTCTCTGTAAAAAATCAATAAAATATATTTTTTAAAAATTAATAAATAAAAAGGACTGTGACTATATAAACAGAAAGGAGGCTGCAGGGTGTGGCCAGCGAGATCAGGGAGGGTGAGCCTTCTGCCTTTAGACGCCTGGAACTGAGTACAGATTTTTCTCATCCCTCCCAGGGAGTGCTGAGCAGTGATGGTCTCTGGAGGGTCAAATCCATTTCCAACGGCAAA